TTAGCAGCACGCACGGTCCTGTTAGCAGCACGGTCTTGTTAGCAGCACGGTCTTGTTAGCAGCACGGTCCTGTTAGCAGCATGGTCTTGTTAGCAGCATGGTCTTGTTAGCAGCACGCACGGTCCTGTTAGCAGCACGGTCTTGTTAGCTGTGTGTAATAATATGTTGATGAGCGTATAATGGGTTGTATTAAATTTTTTTGCTTTTTTTTTTCTGTTTTAGGCCAAATTGTCTCAAACAAAAAAGAAGAATTAACAGCAATTTTGGACCACTTTAACATCCAGGTACCAAAGTCTATTTTTTCTTTACTTGTGTGCATTCACTTTATTTTCTTTTATCATTTTTGTTGGTTATGTTCATGCGAAATTGTGGAATCACTGATTCAAGGGTTCAGCAGGAACTTTGTTTTTTCCAGCTGGACAACCCAGTTTCCATTCTCAGCCAAGAAATGAGTAAACAGTTCCTGCATTCAAAAAATGAATCCGACAAGTACAAGGTACCACACTGCCAGGCTCCTGCCGAATGTCCTACGGTCACCTCTGGTTTGAGGGACTCCACTCTAGTTTCAGTCATTTCTCTCCTGATATCTTCACCAGAATGTGTTCTGTGTTTTTGCTCATCTAGTTCTTCATGAAAGCAACGCTGCTGGAGCAGATGAAGAGAGATTACATCCACATCAAACACACGGAGACCATCACCCGACAGCAGGTGGAGAGACAGGAGGAGGTACAGTTCTGCATTTTGTTCACCAATTAGTGCTGCTGAACTTGGTCATATATTTTCCTTAATGTGAATAAATCTTTTAAAAGACACAAATCGAAGCTTTTTTTTAACGTTTCATGTCCCACATGTTCTCGTTGCCCATCATCTTCCTTCTAAATGGAGCTGGACCTTGTAATGGAAGCAAACAACTGTTTCACATTTCTGCACTTTTAATTCTTAAGGTTGGTCTAAGAGGCCAAATTAACCCTTGTCCAGATTAAACCCCGGTACAGTTTGGCCCAGGCCAGAGTAGACCCCGGGGAATAAACTGTCCTAGGCCAAACTTTATCCCTCCAGACCAGAATATACCCGTCTATACCCATAATCTGTCCTGAGGGGTACGAGCATGTAGGCCAATTTATACCTTGGAGGATAAATGGGCCATAGTTGACTCAGAATATAATCTAGCCTAGGCCTGTTTAACCTCAGGTATAGTCTGGGCTGGAGGTAAACTATGGGCTGTTACACTGGTCTCAAAGTACATGTACATTTATGAAAGGACAACTGACTCCGTTTTATGTGAGTTTTAAAGTAAATTACAGTTTATTTTATTCCAAAATATGTTCAGATTGTTTTGCTTCTATAATATTTTTATACACTCCAAGCCCATTTTTTTTCTATTATTATTATTCCCCATATAGAGATTGTAATTTTAACTGTAAACAGCTACAATTTCCATTTCTCAACCTTAGATAATCTCAGTTTAAAAATCTGGTTTGAACCTCCTCAGACTCTGCGTCCTCATATGAGGACAGTGATTTTTTTAGAGAACTGCTTATCATGGAAAGCTGAAGATAAGTTTTTAAATTAATTGGGACCTTCTGATCCCAATTTGTAAAGAAAAATATAAAATCAAAAATAAACATACTGTCCTCATATGAGGACGTCATTATTTTCTAAAGCTCCTTCCTGTATCATGACAGAGTCTAGTTATTTAACTTATTAGCTCTCACTAATCCCATGTACTTTGGAGAAAGAGAAGATGCACCAAACAAAGCGCGGGTCTGTGGAGGTAAAGGTGGCGGGTGATATGCATTAATTCAATGAATGCCAGACATTTACTTTTCTGTAAATGTGTTTGAAAAGGCCCATAAAGACAAAACTGCTTAGTTCACTGCTGATTTTTCAGCCTGCCACTAACATTTCTTATTGTTGTGTGTGTTCAGTGTCTGAAGGACTTGAAGCAGGAGTTTCTACAGAAGAAAGAGCGATATGAAAACTTGTCCTCCTACAGTGAGCTGCAGGAGGTTTTGGAGAACCTGAAGAAAAAAATGGCTTGGTCTTTGGTAAGAGATTACTTTGTTTTTATTTATTAAAGAATATGTTGTGGTTTTTATATGTCGGACGTTTTATAGTCTCAGTGTATTTGTCTGTAAACTTTCTCTTGTCCCGCCCCTAACTTCTGATCCGCTCCAGATAATTTAATGAAACTTGAGTCACATATACATCATCACTAGATGGAGTGTTGCATACTCTCCAGCTTCTAGGTCAAGGTCACAAATCAAGGTCAAATGTTATACAAGGTATTAACTTGTCCCGGTTGTTGCTATAGTTTGCTGTATAATAGTTTGCTGATGAGCGTATAATGTGCTGCGTGCATTACTCTTGTTTTTTACAGTTTCTCATCCTCCTCCTGCCTTTTAAAAAAAAAAAGATATTAAAAAATGAGAAAACCTGATGAAATAATATATCATCTGTATTTAACTCCAGGTTAGAGAGAAAGAGCAGTCTGTACAGCAGCTGAAGGAGGAGACTGAGAAAGAAGAAAATAATAACAAACATCAGGACAACCTTCGGCTCTGTCAGGTCAACACGTCGTCCATCTCTGCTCTGTGTTTAAGCCTTTTTTTTTTTTTAAGAAGCCTCATTTCAAACTTTCTATATCGTATATTAATTAAGAAATCTTTATAAAATAAAGGCCCAGAATTTCTTGAAATGCTGCCTTTCATGCCCGAGTTATGGACTAAGATCATCTTGAGTTGAGTAAAGACAGCCCTGTAGTGTTTGTGATCAAAGCTCGGTCTCATGCAGACACTTTGTGTCATCTTGCAGGCTCTGTTACCGTAACTTCATGTTTAAAAGCCGCTGATTTTTTCCACAGGCTTTGAACCCCGCCCGCGGCTTATACAATGTTGTGGCTGATTTATGGATTTATTTTTTTTGATAGGCTAACGAGCTTCTTGCCGCCAAAAACATTTAGCCTCGTCACACACTAAGCAATGTGTGCACGTGTGCCCAATACACGTCTCTTTTGGGGTGTGAGTCCTCATGACTCAATGATATGACCTGTATAAATAAAGTTTTGTTTTGTTAAATCGGACCAAAGAAATTGCCGAATAGCTCACAATCAACAAAATGAAATGGGGAGGAGAGAATGTGGAGGGAGGAAGAATCCCCCCCCCCTCCCAGTGAGGGGAATAAATTAACTTTGGTAAAAAGTGTTGATTCTGTTGGCTGAGGGTTTGGACAGCAGGTTAGAATCAGTGTTTTATAAACAGACTGGCCTGTAAGGTGTCTTTATCTTCTTTATGGATAATGGTAATTATGGCAGTAAATAATGATTCAGGAAGTGTTTGCTAAGTCAAGTACAAGCATCATATATGGTTTACTTGTTTCTTTCATGCAGACCAGGATTGCACAAGCAGAGAAGAGGCTGCAGCTCATCAAAAGGAGAAGTGACGGTCTAAAAGAGGAGCAGGAAACTCTCACAGAAGAATATCTCAAGTTGAAACAGCAAGTGAAGAGCAAGAGCAAAGCTCACAAGGAACAGGAGGTATTTGTACTCAGGGGCCTCATGTACAACAGCTTGCATATGATTCATATTTTTAAAATTAAAACATGGTTGATGTTTAAATTGAGACTTATGAGCAAACAAATCCACATGAATAAAACCGTAGCGTCATGAATTCCAGCGCATTCTCTTCGTAGATCCTAATCAAAGTGAAACTGATATGAAGATAAATTAGTCTCCAAATCGAACAACAACATTTGTCCAAGTCTTTTCCCAATAACAGTAAATCTGGTAAGGCTCAGATGTCCCAGCTTTCCACCAGCCTTGAACGCATCATTACCTTTGTGACTCTGGAGAGTTGAAAAAGTCTCAGAAGTCACGTTCACAGGCAGCTGATCCGTGCGTGCGCAGCAGGTGATTTGTGCACGTGTAGTTAGGAATTTGTATAGAATATTCCTACTTGTGCACTTTGAATTGTGTACATTTGAATATTAGGGATGCACGATATTGGATTTTTGGCCGATGTGTTAAAACTTATTAGGGCGATACCAATACTGATATTTTTCCCTAGACCTCCTTACAGAGTCTCCATAGCACAGACCAAAAACATGCATGTTAGGCTGATGAGTAACTAAATTATTCCTAGGTGTGTGAGAGAGAGTGAATGGTTGTTTGTCTCATTTGTCTGTGTCCCTGTGATGGACTGGAGACCTGTCCAGGGTGTCCACCGCCCCTCGCACAGTGACTGCTGGATATGGGCACCAGTGCCCCCCACGACCAGAAAAGGAAAAAGCGAGTAAAAGATAACTAACTTCTACCCACTTGAATATCTTGCACCAAAAACATTAACATTGAACATTCACTGTTCAAATCCCTCAGCGACGGGGAACACTGGTGGACTCCCATTAGTACGTCCAAACGTTCACTCCTGCACACTGTACAAGTGGATGTAATGGTTGCTCCTGTGTGTCTCTGGTGTGTAGAATATTGTCTCCACGTCATCAGTAGTGTCTCAGTGAACCCTCCAAGAGTCACCAACAGATAATAACTGTGCACACCCACTGTACACGAGGCCCAGGGAGACCGTTTCAGTGCACAACTCTGAATAATGACGATGAAATGAAACGGATGGCATCTATATTTGTTTACGTGACATGATCTTTTCCTGTAGCTTGTTTATGTTCGGGCCCTGAACAAACTCAAGCAGTCTGAGCGAGAGCAGATTCTTCTTCAAGAGAAAATCACCAAGACGACGACGAGGTAAACGGCTCTGATCGGCAGCCGTAGCTCTACACAAATTAACACGTTAACTTAAAATTCTGTTTATTTTTATTGATTTCAGTGAGATTTTGAACAATAGCAGAGAAACCAAACGTGTAAAACACCAGGTGAGCTTGAGTGATTTGGAGAAGCAGCTTGCAGAACTTCAGACTACATGCTCTCAGCTGAACGAAGCCACCAGGAAGAAACATCAGGCGCTTCTTAAAGGAAAGGAAGAACGGGACAAGCTGAGGTGCTGCTCCGCTCAGAAACTCTGTTTAGGATGGGAAGATGAATAAACCAGTTTCCCAGGCCTCTGATGGTTTTATATTACTTTCTTTCTTTACATCAGAGGAGAAGAAAAGAGTCTCCAGTTTGTATACGAGTCCAAACTGAAGAGGAAGGACCAGCTCCTCGCCAGTCGATCCAATAAGCTGAAGCGTTTCGATGACTTTGTTCCTGATCTGATGGCTGCAGTTGATGGGGCGTACGCTGCTGGACACTTCCTCAAGAAACCCGTTGGGCCAATAGGTGACGTTTTGTCATTTTGTGTCGTGCCTACTCCAAACAGTTGGACACAAAATAAAGATCAAGCATTCCTTGAAGGAATGCCCGTCATCCACCTGTCGAACTACGATCATCTTGTATGTAGAAGGGGCGGAGTCAGAAGCTGTTTTCGTTAAATCTTGTTAATGATACGTGCTCGTGAGATGAAGCAAAATGTTGCAAGGACTGATGCCGTCCGCAGAATGTGTTGTGACGATCGATTTCCATCCATCCATCCATCCATCCATGCATCCATCCATCCATCCATGCATCCATCCATCCATCATCTTCTGCTTGTTCTGAAGTTGAGTCTCGGTGGCAGCATCTTGAGCAGGGAGGTCCAGACATCTTCCATCTCCAGCCACCTCTTCCAGCTCTTCTGGGAGGTCTCCAAGGTGTTCCCAGGACAACAGAGCGACGTCGACTTGTCTGACTGTCGACGGGGGAGAGGATGTACTCCATAAACCATCTTATCACCATCGAACTGGTTGGCCCACTATGTGAATGTGCTACTTACGGGACTGAGTTTGTTGTGGCTCCTCGGACTGATGAAGTCTTTTGATGAAAGACGAAACGTTTCAACAAAAAGAAACAGTCCAGAGGACCTGACTTAACTTTGCAGGATTTTTTTAACCTGAATTATTTAGCATGAACTTTGATCTTTAAAGTATAGTTTCCTCAAAGATTAATCCATGGAGGGGCCAAGACCACCACTGAGCACCCTCTGGCTCCTCCTTTGTCCCTAGTTTCTGTTCTTATACAGAGTTCAACTCCTACCCAGTTGAATATCTTGCACCAGAAACATTTAGGTTTAATCCAGTTCAGTGATGTGGGACATGGATGTTCTGCTCGTTTACTCTGAATCGGACTGAGAAGAACTCGGACCCAGCTCTGTCTCGGTGCAACAAAACAGGTTTTAGTTTGTGTCTTACACTTACGACATAACACGTTTATTTTAGTGTGGAGCTTGGTTTCCTGTGTTGATACTAAGTGAAGCGTAAGTGTTGGTTGCATTTATTTTTATAGGATCACGAGTCTAAGATCATTGCTGCAATACATGTGAACACAATATTGGACTTTTTAACTTCTTTGTCCTGAAACAAGTCATTTTGATTATAGAGCATATGTAAATATTTTATTGTCCAGGCTGTGTGTGTTATGAACACTGAGTGTGTAGTCAGTGCAGTTAAGTGTTGTTTGTGCGCTCGTAGGTGCGTGCATCAGTCTGAAGGAGCCGTCTCTGGCTGTGGCCGTGGAGTGCTGCCTGCGGAGCTTCATGAAGGCTTTCTGCTGCGACAACTACAAAGACGAGGCCGTCCTGCAGCGGCTCATGGGCCGCTTTTATCCCAAGGGCAACAGACCCCAGATCATCGTCAGCTCCTTCTCTAATAAACTTTACAACGTCTGTGGACGGTCAGTAGCTGTTTGTTTGCTGCTTCACCGTTTTCTATTCAGTCACCCGTCGCCAATTTTAATGAAACGCCCAAAAAGTTATCAGCAAAAGAACATACACAAAAAAAAAAAGATTTACTGTAATTTTAGGACTATAGATCACACCTGAATGTGCCCCGCACACTAAGAAAACAAACAAACAATCTTGTACATATATAAGCCGCGCTTGTGTATAAGCTGCAGATGTTCACGTTGTAACATGAGTGGCAGCACACATCTACCGCGAGATGTACAGCTCTTACGTACCGGTAACATACAAATACAGTAAATGTTTTTTTCTGAACAGTGCCGGTAACACTGCTGGTTAAAAAAATTAAAATACAGTAGTCTACCAGGAAGTCATTGATTGTTATACCATACCAATTTATTTCTAAAGCACTTAAAATACAACAAACAGTCGTCCGAAGTGCTGTACAAAATTAAAAACTAACAAAAAACAGTAAAACAATAAAACCATCTAAATATACATAAAAAAAAAATCAGTTATCTTCATATTCAGTTGCTCTGTGAGCATGTGAGAACCCCCTCACATGCTCTGTGCATGCAGGGGAACCCCCGCTCCCGTTTCATCGGTTTGACTGTGTTTGGTAATTTTGTTGCTCAGATCTTTTAAAAACTTTTATTTATACAGGTTGTCTCATTGAGTCACAAAGACCCACCCCCCAAGAGAGATGTGTGTTGGGCAGCGCTAAATGTTTTTGGCAGCATGAAGCTCGTTAGCCCATAAAAAAATAAAATAAATCCATAAATTAGCTGCAGCATTGTATAAGCCGCGGGGTTCAAAGCCTGTGAAAAAAGTAGCGGCTTATAGACCGGAAATGACGGTACAAATACTGGGCTAAACTTTTGTGTTAATAGTTGTGAGTTTAACTCGACACACGTCGTGATGTTTCCCACATTACTTTTTGAGGTTCAACCAAAACAGCCTTAACTCCATCCCTTGTTATCGTATGATCAGCCCATCTAGAATTGTTGGGTCTTTAATTAAAACTTTCGCTCTTTTCCTGTTTTACAGAAAAGTGCTCCATCCAGATTACCCAACCGTGTTGGACACGATCACAGCAACGAACCCAATCGTCATCAACTGTCTGATCGATATGAGAGGAATAGAAACTATTCTCGTAATCAAAGTTGGTGTCTGAGGTTTTCAGGTGAACTAGCTCTTAGTTTCTGCTTCGTCACTTCACGTGTTTCACTCTTTGTTTTCAGGAAAAAGACAAAGCCAGGGGAGTCATGCAGAGAGGCCGGCCGCCTAAAAACTGCCGCGAAGCTTTCACCGCTGAAGGAGATCAGGTGTTTCCAAACCGTTACTACACCTCTGAGTTCAGCGTGGCCAAGTACCTCAGCGGAGACGTTGAGACTGAAATAAGGTGACTGTTGCAAGCTTCGTGTCAGCTGGAGCTACGAAAATGCAAAAAGAAAACGCTCACACGTAAAGATACTTTGTCAAAAGATAAAATACCCCAAAGCATCATCTGCTGGCAGTTTGAGCTTCTTTGATACGCCCGTTGAAATGACACTTCATGCACATATGCATCACCCCGCTCCAAGGTCACAAATGAAGGTCAAAGGTTCTACAAGGTCTGGCTTAAATTATCAAAAGGTTAGCTAGTAATTAAAAGGACAAAAATAAAGAAAGAATGCTAAAGCAGGTTTCAAAGACAACTATTTTTTTAAAGAAATTTAAGAAATCTTAGTGTATTTCTGTGAGAAATATATTTAAATAAAGTTAAATGTTTTTAAAAGTATAAATATTGCAACAACAAAAAAGTCATAGCACTCATGCCCTTAAAACATTTTGATTTAACAGCTACTACAGCACAAAGTATGCAAACGTAGTTAGGTTGCAAAAATATACAAAAATAAATCAGTAAAACAGTGAACGTTTAATCACCAGTTACTATAATTAAAATAAATTTCACAATAAGATGCTGGTGTTGCATAAAAGAGCTTCTACATCAGAATCATAATATGTCTCAAGATATAAACAAATGTCCGCTCACCATTCACTTTATCAGGTCTACACTGCTTGGGTTGGACCTTTTCCTTCAGAATTGACCGAACTCTTTATGGCATAGATTGAACAAAGTGTTGGAAACATTTCTAATAGATTTAAATCCATATGGACCTGATTGCATCACAAAGTTGCTGCAGATTTGTCTGTTGCGCATTCTTGTTAGGAGTCCCAACATCCATCACATTCCAGAAGTGATTGATGGGACTGAGATCTCTCAATGACAAATACTGATGAGTCTGTGTGAACTGTAGCTTCAGCTTCAGCTTCAACCTCTACTCCATTTCTCTTCCTTGCCACACCATGGTAAAACTGCTTGCCCCAATTCTGCAAGCCTTGCTGCCATTCCACTTGTACACATAATATGGTCTACCTTCCTTCTCTGCATCATGTCAGCCAGCTCTCTACCTTCCTTCTCTGCATCATGTCAGCCTGCTCTCTACTTTCCTTCTCTGTATCATGTCAGCCTGCTCTCTACCTTCCTTCTCTACATCTTGTCAGCCTGCTCTCTACCTTCCTTCTCTGCATCTTGTCAGCCTGCTCTCTACCTTCCTTCTCTGCATCATGTCAGCCAGCTCTCTACCTTCCTTCTCCGAATCATATCAACCAGCTCTCTACCTTCCTTCTCCGAATCATATCAACCAGCTCTCTACCTTCCTTCTCTGCATCATGTCAGCCAGCTCTCTACTTTGCCTGTCATTGTCCCCACATTTAGAGTTGCTACCCTCAGTCCTACATTCTTGACACTTTCCTCTTCTCTCTCTGTCTCTTGGCATGGTTCCTTCCTCTTGGTCTTTGACTATGTGGTCACCTAACACTGACTGTGTAGTTTTGGTGTGAGAGAAAATGCTTCTTGTGTTTCACAGTTTGCTGGAGTCAGAACTGGAAAATCTTAAAGCTCAGCTGTCCAGGTTTCAAATGCAGGTGAACTTGGTCACTGAGGATACAGTAAGCATGGAGAACAGCCTGAACAGCACCATCAAGACCCTGAAGCAGACTCAGGTTAGTGATGACTACTCTGTCAGCAAGGATGTGTCCATCTGGGGTAGCTTATTGTCGTGGTTTTATTTCATTTTCTGATTTTGTCTTTTTAAACAGTTTCTCACTGCAGTTTTTAAAGTGTCCTGCTGTCATAGGCGTCTCATCAATTACAGTATATGTGAAGGGGACGTGTCCCCCTCACATTTAAAAAATATTTGTTTGGACCCCACACACATTTATCATGAAATATTAGTTCGCCCAACGCTGTTTCTATTTCTTCATGAACGAATCAATTCCACTTGATCAATAGGAGATATTCAACCACTAAAAATCCACTCCGGGTTTTCCTCCTTACTGCTTGGCAGGATGCGCATCTCTTCTGGGTTTTTTGTGGACGGGATGGTGGGAGGAGCTAAGCTAACGTGTTGCGCGTTAGCTTAGTGCTACGTTAGTGCCAGCAGTTGTTGACCTGGTGGTGGGGGAGTGGATGCATAAGAGATGCGGAGCGTGCTCTAATCACACAAGGAGAGCTGTTGGTCAAGCTACTTCTTGTTACTCTCTAAAATTGTTATTGAATCAAGTGTTTACTTATGTAGGTAAACATAGATATTTAACAACCCGTTAAAATATACCAAGATGCAGAAAATGGCATCTATTTTATTCAAAAATTTCTGAGGGAGAACCCCCAGACCCCCCTCACCAGTGTCCCCTCCCCCCACCATTACAAAAGCTTCTGATGCAAATGACTCCAGTAGATTAAATTATAAACCGATGTTAAGGTGGTAAGGCTTGGGTAGAAGTGGGCGACAATATAAGATGCATGACCTTCCGTTTTGCAAGTCGTGCTCATAGAAAAGGGGTGTGGTTTTAAAAATCTGTCTTCACAGATGTGGCCGTGTGGCCTGCTGGTTACAAACGGTCAGCGTTCAGTGAAATTACAGCTGAGAATTCACCCATTTTCTCACAACTAGTCTCCCACAGTTGCTGCCCAGTGAGATACGAGCCCGTGGTTTCCTGTTTTTGATTACAGACGTGTCAGAATCAGGTGAAGGCAGCGATAAGTGAGCTGGAGACGGCAGCTCAGGAGCACAGTGATGACATCAGCTCTTTGGTGATCCTGAACTTCTTTCTAACTGTTAAATCAGACATCGACATCGTGGGCTGTTTGAGATTAATGTTTGAATTTACCGCGTTGTGCAGGAAGACGTTGCCCGGGAGAACGATCAGAAGATTGAGGCTGAAAAACAAATGGTTCAGGAGGCAAAGGCAGAGTTTGACGAGCACCGGGAAGTGTTGGAAGAGGCAGACTGCGAGTGCTCTTCTGTTAGGAATCGAATTGATCAGCTTTCAGAAGAAATGGAGCCATTGAAGGTAAAAACATGTATATTGTGTTTTTCCCATTGCAGTCACATTTGTCCAGAATTAATGTTCGTTTTCTAAAACGCCACTTCTGAAAACGGTTGGACATTTTGTTTAACGGCTTTAACAGAAAACGATGATTTGAAATTCTTATAAAGCCACATTTTATTCACATTTGAACATAGTAGCCATTAAGTGTTTAAAATAAAAAAAGCTATCGTTTTAAGAAGATTTATGTTAGTTTTGATTTTGAATATTTAAAATTTCACAATGATCCAACCTTTTTTTGGAGTTGGGGTTGTGGATGTTAAAAGGTTTTGTAGCTTTTTCGTTGAGTCTCAACGTTTATGAAGCGTTCTCACTATTCGGATCCGTTTTTCTTCCGTACGTTTTTCAACGCGATTCTCATCCCGCAGTTTTCAAACTGTTTCAACAAATCATGAATCAAAACGTTCAACTCTTTCAGGACTGCTATGACTTTTGGTATTAGAGCAACTTTAGCTTGTTGAAATATTTAGCCTTTTCTGACATTTTTTGTCTCAGAAAATAAATTGAGCTCATTTTTACCTCCTTCAACTCTTTAGATCTGTTTACAACCTTTTACTGCTCCTTTCACTTTTTGTTCTGCTTCCGCTTCTTTCAGCTCCTGCTGCAAATTTAAACTTATTTTCAGCTACTTTCAGCTGTTTTCAGCTGTTTTGTGCTCCTTTCAAATTCTTTCTGTTAACTACAACATTTTTGTTCTTCTTCTAACTTATTTCTGCTATTTTCAGCTTTTTCTACTGTTTCAGCTACTATTTAGCTGCTTTTATGCTAATTTTAAGCTTTTTCAGCTAATTCCACATTTTTTTGCAATCATTTAAACTTTTTTCAGCCTAATTCAGCTCAAATGTGCTCTCAGCACTTCCTTCTGATAATTTAAGATTATTTCTGCCTTTTTAGCTACTTTTCAGCTTTTTGTTGTTGTTGTTGCTAATTTCAGCTTTTTCAGACAATTTTCACATTGTTGTGCTCATTTCTACTTATTTCAGCCTAAGTGGGCAAACAAGTGTTCTTTCTGCTTTCTTCTGCTAATTTAAGCTTGTTCTACCGTTTTAGCAAACTTTTTAGCTAATTTTAGCTGTAATTCAAGTTTTTCATGGTAATTTCTGCTACTTTGAGCCTAATTAACTTCTTTTTGCTAATTTCAGCTTGTTGTGCTCCTTTCAGCCTAATTCTGATAGTTTCAGTTATTTCAGCTACTATTTAGCTGGGTTTTTTTTCATTTCATTTTGCATTCATTTCAACTTTTTTAACCTAATTCAGCAAAAATGTGCTCTCTCCACTTCCTGGTGGTAATTTAAGCTTCTTTCTGCCTTTTTTGCTTATTCTGCAGCTGTTTTTTGCTCATTTAAGTTTTTTTCTGATAATTTCCACTATTCCAGCTCATTTTAGCTCTTCCTGCTTCCTTCTGGTAGTTTAAGCATCTTTCTGCCTTTTGGATACTTTTTAGCTATTTATCTGCTAATTTCACTTTTTTTTTTTTGCTAAATTCTTAATTTTTATTCTCCTTTTTACTTATTTAAATCAGATTCAGCAAACATATGCTAATTTAAGATTTAATTTAACACAAAGGTTGAATGAATATGCTCTTTTTGCTTTCTTCTGCTAAGTTAAGCTTGTTTTTCCATTTCACCATGTTTTTTTAGCTAATTTCATCAAGTTCTTCTGCAGTAAGCATCCACTGCATTTTTGCAGGAAATGCAATTTGTCTGGTTCTTTTTGTGTCCGTGATGATCAGGACGAGCAGGTGAAGCTGGAGGCAGAGTGCATGAAACACGAGAGAAATCTTCAACTCTTGGAGAAGAAACTGAAGGCTCACGAGGACAACGTCCAGGCCATGAAGGGTGAACTTTCTGAGAAAGAAGACGAGTTGCAGGTAGCACGTGTGCCTCTTCGTTTTTATTTCTTTACCGCAGAGAGGAGGCCGTATCAGATTGTATGAAAACGTGTCGCTCCGACAGGAATATGTGGCCAAAGCGTCGCAGATCAGCCCCGAGCGGCAGAGCGACGCCTGCAGCACCAAGAGCATCGACACAGAAATCACCCGCCTGAAGAAGAAGCTGAAGGTGCACGAGAGCAGCCACGGCGAGCACGAGCAGGTGGTCAGGTGAGCCGTCGCCTCTGTCCCGAAACGTCCCTCGCCTTCCTGTTCAAAAGAGGAACTGGAAACGAAGCGGGTTTTATTTGTTTCGGCCTCTAGTGCGCACAGTGTGGAGTAAAACATGAACACAGTTCATCTAAAGAGCTGATGGTGAAGGAAGGAAACGCTGCACCACCGTGCTGCGTTTCACCTCCTGTCCACACAGACAGAGGCTGAAGATAAGATGGCCTCAAAAATAGTCTCACAAGCGTACAGTAAGATCCACGAGCACAGCACAAGAAAGGTGCACGTTTCTATTTGCACAAGTAGGAACATTCTGCACGTGAAATTTGTTAAGTACACAAATCACCTGCTGCGCACGGACCAGCTTGCCTGTGAATGTGACTTTTGAAACTTTCTTACAGCTCCAGGTTCACGAAGGTAATGCTGCGTTCAAGGCTGCTGAAAACATGGGACATCTGAGCGTTACCAGATTTAATGAGTTGTTGGGAAAAGACACGACAGCTCAAAACCAGTACAGGTGCATCTGAAAGAATTAGAACATCGTGAAAAGTTAAAAAAAAATTTTGTCAGTTATTTCAGAAAGTCCAACTCAAATATTTCAAATATTCATCACACACAGATTTAAACATTTCAAGCCTTTATTTCTTGTAATTCTCATGATTATAACTTGCAAATAATGAAAAATAAACTCAGTGATTAGAATATTCCAGAACCAGCTTCTGGTGTCGGTGTGGGCCGGTGCCGAGTCCTGCTGGAAAATGAAACCAGCGTCTCCATGAAGCTCGTCAGCAGAAGGAAGCAGGAAGTCTCTAAAGTGTCCTGCTAGATGCTGCGTGGACTTCAGAACACCCAGTGGACCAGAACCAGCAGAGGACATGGACCCAAACCATCCCTGACTGTGGAAACTTCACTCTGGACTTCAACAACGTGGATTCTGGACCTCTCCACTTCCTCCAGACTCCAAGACCTTCAATTATAAATCTTTGATGTGAAAAGAGGACGTTTGCCTTCTGAGAGACAGTCCAGGTCTTTGTGTCCTCAGCAGGTAAGACACTTCTGATGTCTCTGGTTCAGGAGTGCCTGGACTTGAGGAATGAGACATTTGTAGCTCGTGTCCAGGAGATCATCAGATCATCAGGCTGTGACACCAGGAGTTAAAATATTCAACCTCTTCACAATGTTCTAATTCTCTGAGTTTAGTTTTTTATTTTAAAATAAATGTTTCATCAAAGTTACAAGAAATACAGGATTGAAAATGTTCACTCTGTCATGGATCTATGTAAAATGAGTTTGACTTTCTGAAGTGATTGACAAAAAATATATATTTTTTATGATATTCTATTTATTTATTTATTTAGATTTACATTCACCCAAAACAAATACATTATGCAAAATAACAAACAAACAAAAAATTAACGTGGACCTTTTTGCCACCTAGTGGTGAAATTTGGATATTACAAGGTTGATACAAACAGCCCTGTAAACAAATAAAAATTATTATTTTTAAATATATTAAATTATCTAAATTCTTCATAAGAACAAATACATTTTCTGTTGGAACGTTTGTTTTTCCAAAGTTCACTAAACGGCTCAAATGTAAGTTGGTGTTAAAACCTCCAAGTTTATATTTGGATAAAATATATCATGAATTATTATTAAACGCTCTGAAGGCGTGCACACGTTCAAACAGCCAAATCAACAAAACACTTTAACTCTAATTAGAACAAATGATTAAAGAAAATGGAAAATTTATATTAATTCCCTAAAATGAATGATTTTCTGCAGGGGATGTGCTTTAAGTTGTGTTTGGTACATTTTACTGATGATATTTGTAGTAGCAACATGTGGGGGACGTGTCTAAATTCTTGGCTGCCAGCTGTAGTTCAGTGTTTAGCAATTACACGTAAATAATTGAAATCATATTATTTGGAAAAGCTGAATTCCCAAACAAAAATGTCCAAAATGCAGATGAAGTAATGGAAGGATGCACAGAAATATAAGAACATTCTAGGGAAAGACTCGAGGTACACACTCGAACAGGGAAACAGTGAAATGATGAAGTCTGGGTCTAAACGGGACAGAAACCTCTAAAGAAGCCACAAAGTAGGACAGGAAGTGACAGGAAGTGACAGGAAATGACAGGAAGTGACAGGAAGTGA